CGTTTCTTCCATCGCATGCTCAGATCAGCACATTGTTTTTTCCATTACTTCACTGTTCGGTTCGCCATAGCTCGCCTTACAAACATGATGCGGTTAACAGGAAGAAGCTGATGAGTCAAAAAGTAATCAACCAATCTATGACAATTATTAGTTCGATGCATCAGAAGACTTTGTTTCAAACGTTCCACAATGACCAAAAGTTTAGAGTTGGATCAATCCACGTCGGTAGCGGTAACTTCCAGCGCTCAAATACCTGGCCGTAGAAGATGAAGAGATTGAGCTTTGACAATCAGCTCCTGCAATGAAAAAACAAAAGGAACGCGTTCGATGCTCTAACAAAAACAAAAAACAAAAGGAAAGCCAGAGGACCCCATCAGAGCAAGATGTGCAAAAAGAGTTCTGCATTAGATGGCAATGTAGAAACCTGTGTCGGGCATCCGAAGAAGCTGGACTACCACTATTACTGGGCAACATGCTAAGCATCAGCTTACTATGCCCCAACTACAAGCTGGACACGTCAACCTCCGAACAAAAAAATGAACGTCCTGTTCCGAAAGGAGCTCCACTGCAGCAATCTCCTAAGCAACACCAGCACATTTAGCGCAGGCAAGTAGGCCAGCGGCTACAACCGATCCTCCGACAAGCACAACAGCCAATGTAAACTTCATCGAAAGCTGAATCACAACTAAAAGGACATCACCAAGGAGGCCTTTAGAAAGAAAAAAGAAATCGATGATATAGGCCCTTTTAGCATAAAGCAATGTCACCGGAGACTCCTTCAGCACCAACGGCCAACACTGTTTTTAGGACCACAGAAGGAACACTTCAGAAAATGATCAACAAGACAAAAAACCACCTCTTGTATTTCAGCAGAATATAGGAATCGTGGCGTCAGTGACGTTCAAGGAAAACACAAAAAGGAAGTGGCGTGCGTGCATCAATAAAAATAAACAATCAAACAACTACGGAATCCAAGCTGCCAATGCTCTAAGTCATCGCAACATTGTTCATTTCTCAAAAGAGCACATGGTGTGTGTTCATTAGCTTCTATATGAAGCGTATGGGCTTGTTGTCCTAACCACAACAGTCAGCGTCGCGCACGAGAGCAGTTCTCTCTATCATTGGACTGCTGCACTCTCCCCTGAAGTTTGCGGAATGCCGCTGGAGCATGGAACTTTCTGTCTGTTGCAATATTTTACGTCTATAAGACTCCCTATTTTCATTTCTTGTTTCTAACTTAAGCACTTTTGCGGGAAGGGGAAATTCATGTGACGCAGGATGACATGGCAGAAGCGGACAAGGAAGAATTTTATATGATTAGAAATAAGTTATGGCGTATAGGCCACGGCATGGCTTTCATTCATCACTGCGTCAAACAGACACACTCACAAACACATGCATATGTGACAACAAAACCACAGACTGCGCATGACTCTTTGTTAGAACAGTGATTAGAGGAAGGCAACATTATATCACATCACTTTATTTAGTTAAAGACCCCTCAAGATTATATTACATAAGGGAGGGTATACAGTTAAGCCAGGTGAATTCACTCGGTAAGAAAGATTGTTACATTGTTCAAGAAGGTTGATGGATTAGTATTGGCTGCAATGGGCAATCCAATATCTTGCTGCTGGGGTGAAAAATGAAGAGAAAAATGTGAGAGTACGAGCACGTGGGCGTGAGACTTGCAGTTCTTGTCCGCGGCGATGAGGTATGCGCGTAAGGTGAACGATGTAAGGTGGATGACAGAGATCACTGTAATAAAATTTGTGGAGTAACGATAGCGTGGCAACACGACGACTAAGACAGAGATTAGACAAACCAGATTTTGTTTTTAAAGATGATACGCTAGCTAGGAAATGATAAGTAGAATAAATGAATCTAGCATCACGGTTTTGGACTCCTTCCAGGACAGCTACGAGGTAGGACTGGTGTGGACTCCAGATAGCGGATGCATACTCCAGTTTCGGTCTAATGAGTGATTTGAAGGCTAGTAGTTTTACGTGCGTGGGGGCACGATTAGGGTTGCGCTTCCGGAATACTAGTGTTTTATTGGCAGATTCTACGATATTTGTAATATGAGTGCGCCAAGATAGGTCATTGCATAGGGTCACCGCCAAATATTTAAACGAGTCAACGGCCTCCAAGTGGACACCAGAAATTGAACATGGAAAAGAAAGGGGAACACAACGTCGAGAGAAAGTTACAGATTTACATTTACAAGAATTTAGAGCAATTAGCTATTGCTGACATCAATCTATTACGTGGTTAAGGTCAGTCTGTAAAGCATGTTGGCCGGGTGTGCTATTTATAGTTGAATTAATGACGCAGTCTTCTGCGAACATTCTCATGTTAGGTAAAACTGTTGAAGGCAAATCATTAATATAAATTAAGAACATGAGGAGCCCAAGGACGGATCCTTGCGGCACACCTGAGGTTACTTGGAGCGGGCAAGATGTTGTGCTGTTGATAGGAATGGTTTGAGAGCGCTTTGTTAGAGAAGCTTTTATTCATTTGAGAATATTGGGATCTATGTTAGCTGACCAAGTTTTAGTATTATTCTTTTATGGGCTATTTTGTCAAATACTTTGGCATAATCTAAGAAGATGGCGTCAGTATGGACGTTGAGGTCAAGGTTAGTGTGTAAATCGTGAAAAAAGATGGCTAGTTACGTTTCGCATGACAGACCTCTGCAGAAACCAAACTTTGAAGGGTTAAAAATAAGAACGAGTCTAGAAGATTCATGATGTAAGAGTATATGACGTGTTCCTTGATCTTGCAAAATACACTTGTTAATGAATTCGATCGGTAGTTAGGTGGCGAGATTTTGTTACCGGCTTCGTAGATTTCAAGGACCTTTCCCACTTTCCCATCCTCGGGTATGGTGGCAGTGGCAAGAGACTTCGAAAATAACAAAGATAGATAGGCAGCAGAGATACATTTAGAGTTTTTAAGGAACTTTGACGTGGTTTCATCAACGCCCGCAGGCGAAGGAGTTTGGTGCTTTCAATCCGAGAAGCTATACCACAGAAAGAAAAAACAACAGCTGACATTTTCGATTCAAAGAGGCTGGAGGTAATTAAATATTATTATTTATGGTATAAACAAATGAAAAACTGCGATTGAATTCATGAGAACATTCAGCATCGGACAAAACTTCATCGAGCTCGTTCGTAAGGCTTATTGTGCGAGCACTTTGGGGGTTAAATACTTCCCAAAACTTCTTAGGTATATTTTCTAATAGCTTGGGGAGTTCAACATAAAAAAGAGGTATTTGGCAGTTTCAGTTTGTTTCATATAAGAATTTTCAGCGGCATAGTATTTTTTCCTTGCGTGCGCACTGTTTAGGAGTTTAGCTGCCCGATAAATCCACTTCTTTTTGTTTTTTAATTTTTTGAGCGATCTTTTAAACCTTGATTTTTGAGAGTTAGAGCGGAAAGTGACTTTAGGTATGTACTTATTCACAAGTTCTTTTATTTTTGATTTGAACGGTCCCGTTGTCCTCAATTCTTGGTCTTTGAAAGTCCACTTCAAGCAGGGGATAAAACTTGACTAAATTATCATTGATTGCTTGATAGTTAGCTCTATCGTAAAGGCGAATGGCCTTTAAAACTGTGTGGCGTGGAACTGACGCAAACTGAGATACTGCTTGGATAACTTTATGATCCTTCATTTATTTGAGGTCAGTAATGAATGATAAACATTCGGGACTGTTTGTTTGTATTAAATCTAAAGTGTTCGCCAACTCCTGCGTGATGCGTGTCGGCTCGGAGGTCAATTGCGTAAGCTTGAAATTAAGACAAACGTCAATGAAGTTGATTTTTTCGGGGTTGCTTATAGTGGACACTTGATTACACCAGTCAATACTTGGGTAGCTAAAGTTGCCGAGAAGTACTACACTGGCATTACTGTGTGTTGTAAGAAGCTGGCTTCACATATCATTTAGTTTCTCTGGAAAGTGTGGACTATTTCATGGTGGTCTGTAAATACGCCAAGTAAGACTGTTTTTGGTCTAGCCTGACAAAAAAGCCATAATAATTCTACGTCAGTCACGACTATAATAACGAAGCATGACAGCTTTCGACAAGCAGAAATGCGCACGCGCCCCCTCGGGAGCCTTCGCGGTATGACGATCTACATCGTATTCAAAACCGTCAACTGCGCAATATTTTTTCCATCATTTGTTTGCTCGAAGCGATTTTTCGTTACCTTCGTTATGTCCTCACGGCCCCTGTGACTAAATTAAATGAAGTGCAGGGTAAGTATTTCTTCAATTTCGGCTTTGCATCGCTGCCTGATTGATGTTAAAGGTGGCCAACGTGGTTCCTATGCTCAGAAGGCACAAAGCAAGAGCACAAAGCAAGAGCCAGAGCTTATGGCGCCTGTTGTTGTCGCAGTGCTGTTTCACGACAGTTTCTTTTGCAGTAACATAAAAAATGCAACAAAGACGAAATATAAAAACGCTTTTGGGGCAGTGAAGGTATATGCTAGAGGAAATTGAATGTAGCAAGGCAAAGTAGCAACCAAGAAAATATTTAATGAAGAAGTATGGAAGACTAGTGGACCCGAGTGTCGCATTATCATGATCGTCATCATCATCGTCATCATAATTTTGCCAACGAAGATTTGCTTTCGGCGCCAGACGCTTGAATGAGACGCTCGTGTTTTTGCATCGGCAACAAACTGCACTACGTATTTGCAATTCTCTGACACTAGAATTACGCATTCAGACGCTGTTAGCTGTCATGCAGCCGACGCCACAAAACCTGTCAAGTTATGGGCTCTTTACACTCATACCATATCTACTATTTGCAAATTATTTTCCTTCTCGTAACAGAATCATAACGTTGTGCTTCACTCTCATCTGTGCAATCTGCGCTTACGACAATAAACACTACTTCAAGGAGAGCCAGCTATACTATTTTTAGCATATGTGTAACCGAGCATACCATAAATACACTTGGTACTTGAATTTCGCAAACTTTCCGCCCTTTCAGACCACGAACGTGCTGGGCTTCGAGATTGTTGGAGGAGGCGCCAACGAAGTGCTGCCTCCGCCGACACCCACGAGTAGGCAACCCACCTCTACCTCCACAAACAGCAGGCGGCGGCTAAGCAATACCCGTATAAGCAGCAGGTCGTCTTCAAGCAGGCCCCAATACCCCACCGGACTGGTCACAGTGCTTGGGGGAACGCACGTACACCGGTGAGCCTCAGTGTCAAGGGGAGTGCCAGGTCACTTCGACCTAATGTTACATTGAATAATTTCAGACTGCGGTCAGTAACTTTCGCTACAGCAGTCTCATCTTGTTGTGGATAGTTGCTGTGCATACTGCTGCCTTGGCGCAGCTCTATCCCCAAATTAGCTAATTTCTTGTTACCAAGAAGACCTTGAAATTTTTTGCAGAAAATTTATTTTTTGCACTAAACATTTATTTTTAGCACTACGTCCAACAAAACAACAAAGCAGAAACTGCTACGATTCTTTTCTCTGTACAGCCTAAAGCAAGTCGGCACCAGCTGTGGCGCTACTCGTCAAAGACAAGAAAACGAGTTCTTCGCACATTCTAGTTTACCAATTTAATGTAAAGCATAATACAAAAAACGAAAAAAATTGGGTATTTCCTGTCCATACGATGCACCTTTAGCACAACCATCCGGCCTTATGTAACACAGCTGCTAGTTTGTTTTGCAGCTGGTGCGCCCTGCCATATCCATATCGCCCCGATCGAGGCCTTGAATTTCGATGATTTGAGAAGCTGTTGTTTTTTTCGAAATAGCAACTCATCCCTTAAACCTATCCTGAAGTTGTTTATTACTCATTTGAAGGTAAGCTAAGGTACGGGAAATATTGCCGCTTTCAGAGGAGAGGGCCAACTTGTCATAGAACTTCTGAAAAAAGTCTATGCATGAGAAACACGCTAGAATTGTAATGCTCACAAACGCGCTTTACAATCCGAGATAATGACTGGGGCAGGTTCAACACGTTTGTTAACATAGGAAGAGATAGGAAATGCGGACGTACAGCCTGTGTCACTTTCACCGGAGGAAGTCATGAGCTGCATTGAAATATATCAGACCAATATGTTTCCCACACCACCACCTATTTACAGCTATGTGAAAGGTTGATTTCAGCTCCGTTGCCATGCATGAACGATGGTTTGCAAAATCCTGTGTCAGCTGCAAAAAAAACTGCATGAAATGAACTGACTTATGAACTGAACGGTACTCCGAGGTAGTACGTACAAAGCTTGCGTGAAGGACTTGTCGCCGTACTAGGCTGCTAGCGAACATTGTCATCGCTGCTGCACGGGACCGAACGTTCAAGTAATGGTTCAGAAACAAGTTTTGCCCTCGTTATTTCACTTGCACAATCAGGAATACAAGGCTGCTTCTTCAACAGAAGAACACAAGCATTTAACTACCCATTCAAGAGCGCTTCTATCACAGCCATGCTTAGGCTCTAGCAATGCGCAATGAATTGCACTCGGATGTTACAGGTTCGATTAGCACAATAGAAACAATATTATCGTAAAGAATACACACGCATGCTTCTCGCAGCAATGTAATTTTCGCGTCACGAAAATACGTGGAAAAATATCAACGTTCTGCTGGTAGCAGTGAAGTAGAGGAGAAATCGGCGATCGAGAGGTGTGAACTGGGCTGTGCCTGCACGCTGTATCGCTATAAAAATTTGGCTTCGCTGTTCGATCTTCACCGTGTTGATGCCAGGCGGAGCTTTATAATATTCACAATTTATAATATCCACAAGTTCAGTTAGAGCTGTCACAGTGGATGGACGTTTTTATTTAACGCTCCCGATCGACAGCGCAGATAAGTTGTTTCGAATGTTTTGAGCTTGTCCTTATACTTATAGGGCAGCAGTTGAAATCCCTGTAGCACATATTTTATTGTACGGCTTTTTCAGGGGTCAGTCACCAGGTAATAATTAGTTCGTGCGTGTGTGTGTGTTTGATTTGTTCTGTTTTTTGCTGTTTTTTTTTCTTTCGCCACCCCGTAGCGGATGTGCACGTACATTGAACACGTAAATTTTTGTTTGTAGTAGAGCTTAGACTTTCTCTTTTTCGTAGGGCAGGGCTCCAGTTTTGTAATTATCGAGTGAGACAAGTCATAGGGACAATTGGTGTCGAAAATACATGGTTAAAAAGATTGTGTTCAGGATGTTGGGTTGGTTGTAGACCCAAGTGTAGAAGCGGAAGGAGAGGAGGCTGACGCGAAGTGTAGGCAATGTGAGGTCGAGTAAAAAATGGAGAAAATGATGGTTACCCAAAGTGACCTGCTGATAAGAATCAACGAGCTCGAGACTGCGTTAGCGACAGAGCAAGGGAAAACGAGGGCAATGGGAGAAAGGCTGAAGTCCGCCGATGAAGCACTAGCCAAGGTGAAGAGAGGAAGCGGCCTACGGAGAGAACAGTAGGAATCCGGCAACCAGAACGGAGGAGAAGAAACAGCTAGCAAGTTTGGAAAAAACAGGTTCAGCCGGTTCGATTGTCACAAGGCCCAGCTTCAGCGAAGAATTGGTGGGGCTGGGAAAGGACAAAGCAGCCGGCATCACAGGTGCAAGTAACCCCCAGGTGCAGGATGCTCCAGCTGAAAAGTCACAGCATGTGATAATCGCCGGGGACTCGAATTTAAATCGATGTACAGAAGCTATCAAAAAGAGGGCAAGAGGTGACAAGAGGGTTGCAGTAGGGGCGTTTCCAGGACGAAAGCTGGAAGCAGTCATGATGCAAGCGAGCGCAAAACTCAAACTACAGCGGATAGACGAAACGTCGTGATAATTTCAGGTGGTTTAAACGATGTCTTGAATGAAGATACAGCAGGACTAGCAACTACCCTGGCGAAAGGCGTCGATGACATGCGTGCCACTTCTTCTCAGGTACAGGTAGCGATATGCACGATACCTGAGGTACCAGTGCGTGATAGCAACCTGCAAAGAGCAGTTGTCAACGCGAACCAAGAGATATGGCGGAATGAGCCGAGAGAAAGGCTTTGAGGTGGTGGAAATAAACAGAGAGGTGCACAGCTGGGGTGGTTTTCAACGAGACAGAATTCACTTCGATGGGCGGCTAGGTCATGAGGTGGGTTGGTGACTTGCAGGACGCGCAGTAGCTTTTTTTTGGGGGGGCGGGGGGCAAGCAGGCCATTCGGTGTGCAGGATAGCTAGTAGCGATGAAAACAACCAGGGAGACTCTTTGACAGGTGGTGTGAACAGATACAATTCGAAAGTGGCACCAGTATTTAGGATAGGTCGAGTCCGGGGCAGAAATAGACGTAGCCATGAGCGCCGAGACAAGTCAGACATAGAATATATTAACATTCAGGGTGTTAGAAACAGGCTGAAGTGGGAAGAGATTGAAGAACAGGTAAGGGAGGAGAGACCGATGGCATATGGTTTTGTAGAAACACATCTCAGGGATATGGAACAACCTCCTAACAATGCTGACTACGTGTGGGAATATTTTAATACAACAGAAGGCAGCAGAAAGGGGGGTGGTATTGGGGCATTCATTCATAGAAGTACAGACTTGCAATGGGTCAAGCAGGCGTGCAAGGAACATTTATGGCTAAAAGGGAAAGTGGCAGGGCAAATGACACTCCTTGGTTTCGTGTACTTGTGGACGGGAGCAAAGGCCAGAGAGGAAAACGAGGCGATGGTAGATTGCATATCGAAGGACATTCAGGAGTTAGGAAGAGAGTGCGAGATAATTATACTAGGAGACATAAATGCACTCATAGAAGATATAGATGGGGATATTGACCCGACAGGCAAAATGATCATGGATATGTGTGAAAGGCTTGATTGGATCATTTGCAACAGTACCGAGAAGTATGAAGGGCAAATAACATGGAAGGTAGGAAGGCTGCAGTCGACGATAGATTACGCACTGATGTTGATGTCGCATAGGATGTATGATAAGCTCAGGGAAATACACATAGATGAAGGTGGCTCCAGAAGTCTGGGTTATGATCACAAACGTATCAGGCTAAGTTTTGGAACAGCAGTGAAACTGGGAAGGAGACAAAATGAGCAACTACAGGAAAATTTTTATTCAGAAAGGCAAATTGAAATAGCCACTAAACAAAGTGAGAAAGTAATCACTGAGGATAATAAAACAATGTGGACATACACAAATCTAACTAGATTGTTTGAGCTAGAGCTTGCTATGGCACGTGACAAGTAACCCCGGAAAAGAAGACTCAAACCCAAAAGTTGGTGGAATGAGGAAGTTAAGAGAGCCTTAGCAAAACGTCAGCAAGCCTCTAGGGAACACAGACATGTTAAGTAGTGGGGTGAACCCGACAGATGATGTTGAAAGAAAATGGGAAATCTTTCTAAGCTGTAAAAGAGACACATCCTTCCTGATCAATGAAAATATTAGAAGAAAGAGAGCCCAGTGACTGGCAGAAGTACATAAAAAGTTAGAAAGGCAGCTGCGAAATTTTGGAACCACCTATACTCCCTAAGAAATGAGACGAGCCTAGAGCAGAGGTTTATAACTACAGCTCAAGGTGCTAGGCTAGAAGGGGCCGAAGCTATTAAATATATAAGAACAAGGGTGACAGAAAATTTCAACAAAGAAGTGCTTTATGCACCACAATAGACAAGGGTGAATCAAGTGGCACAATGGCTCCCTTTTTACCACGAAAGTGGGAAAGGGTTGAGAAAAGGGTTCCTAGTAGTACATAAACAGGCCCAGATGGCATTCCAATTATGCTGATAAAGACATTAGGTCCGAAGTCTAAGCAGGCTTTTAGAGAGGGCAGTGAGCAAAACAATAATCGATGGTGAAGTTCCCGATGGATGGAAACTTAGCAGGATGAGCATGATCTATAAAAGAAAGGGGGACAAAGCTGCCGTAAATAACTACCGTCCTATAACAGTGACATCAGTGGTCAACAGGCTGGCGATGCAGATTATAAAGGAACGTCTGCAGGCATGGATAGACGTTGAGGGGGTGCTGGGGGGACTGCAGAATGCGTTTTGGAAACACAGGAGGTTGGAAGACAATCTGTTCTCACTGACGCAGTGCATCGAAATAGCAGAAAAGGAACACAGGCTCGTGTGGCTAGCATTTTTGGATATCAAAGGAGTGTAAAATAGCGCGGTTCTAGAGGAATTGTGGTGAATACTGGACACACTAGGCGTGAATGATGTAGTCACTAATTTTTTAAATATATCTC